TTTTTGACCGCCTAATTACGACCTTAAGGTTCTTATATATATAGATGATTCTGGAGTCGGGAGAGACCCCCAAAGGGTCATCCATTGCAACCCCCTTCCACCAGGATGGAGGACACCATCCGATCCCTCCTGTCAGATGGACATCGAATCTCTGCTTAAAAACCTCCAGCGAAGGAGGAAGAACTGGACTGTGAGAGCTGTTCAGCAGTGGAACTCTCTGCCCCTTATGGAGTGTGGTGGAGGCTCCTTCTTTGGAGGCTTTGAAGCAGAGGCTGGATGGCCATCTGTCGGGGTGATTTGAATGCGATTGTCCTGCTTCTTGGCAGAATGGGGTTGGACTGGATGGCCCACGAGGTGTCTTCCAACTCTAGGATTCTGTGAAGGAAGTTCTCTATCCTGAGAGAATTGCGGACAGACAAAGCCCAACTCAGGCGAAACCGGACGTCTGCCCAAAAGATCAGACAACAAGAACCCAGCTGCATTTGCCAGACGACTGCTTCTGATCCTATCAGCTGTCAAAGCGCTTTTGATGGCTGGTTATTTATCCGTCTATCAGTCCCGTCTATCAGATGGTGCGCCAAACGGGCCGATGTAACAGGAAGGCGGAAGGCTGAATCACTGTAAACAGCACCATTATTCTTAGGGAGACCCAGACAGACCGTTTCCCCGAAGTTGAGGACACAAACAGAACCTTCCTGGGCTCATTTCCCTCGTTGCGAAGATCTGTTGACTCATGTCGCCAAGACTCATCTGAGGACGCTGTCCGAGCAACTGGAACTGGGGTCGGCTGCCTCATCTGTGGCCGTGGACGACGGAGGAGGCAGTGCAAGACAACTGGGCCCTGTGTTGTCCGGCTGCACAACCCAATGTCCAGGTGCTGACCCAGTTCTTCAGCCAGTTTGCATCCACAAAGATCTGCTGAAGGTATACATGACATTGAGCAAGAATTTAGGGGTCTTTGCCCGGAGGCCAGGACCAATCAGAGTCCTGCTCACCAATGCTTCCTC